CTAAGAGTTGAAACTTTAAATATATATATATATATATACATATATATATATATATATATATACACACACACACACACACACATATAAGTATTGAAGGAAAAAGGGATAATTTCACTACAATTATAGATATGGATTTCTAGTGGTCTGTTGAATAAGTACCAAGAATTTTACTATATTCTCACATGTTAAAGGTGATTAATAGACTTGACTAAAGTAATTGAACATGAGTTTTCCCAGATGAGGGTGTGAAGGTGTGCCTTCCCTGAGCACTGGGCTGACTTGTTATGGTGTCCTCCCTGTGGCAGCAGAGGACACACCAAGGACTTTTCCTCCAGAGCTAGCTGTTTTAAAGGAGCAATTAGACATTGAATTTTCATCACTTTCATCTTACCTTGAGGACAATTTGTGAACTTCATTTCTCCTTTTTTTTTCCTTACGTTCTATGCACCTGGACAAGGGCCTTCTACAGGATTGTGCTGTTCTGGGAAGTGGCCCCATACTTCATATTGAGCCGTGTCTATGGCTTTCCTTCTTGGATATCCTTAGAGCCTGAGATTAGCATCAATGGTGAGGCTGTGAGGTGAGATCTGATCTATGTGAACCACATAGTGGTTTTGATGCCTCGATCTGTCCTCACAAGAACCTCCCTCAGGAAACACTTGTTGTTTCACGTCTGTTTCTTGGCACACTTCATAGGACTTATGTACATGTTGATTCAAGAGTAATAGTAGTGACTTCATAACCCTCTTTTGATAAGCACAGTCGACTTCAAGCCTCTCTATGGTAGCAGCAAAAGGTGGGTATATACCATAGATAATATTTGCCTATGAACACAGTCATATCATCTGATAGTCAATAAACTGCGTTTCAGTTTTGATTTATTACCATGCTTAGACATTTGTACTGCTCTATGCCTATCATTCTGTCAGTAGAAAGATGTACAAATAGCAAAAATATAATAATGGTGGTTTGTGAGATAAAAAAATCAACTAGCTTCATTGTCATTAGGAGCAGCTCGTGGCTTGACAAAAGTGTCACGATGAGAGTAAAATACAACCTGTGTTTTGTCCTTTAGACTGAAAACATATTTCTATCATCTTGCCAGATTACCCTCCCATCCAACAAAAGCCTGTTTATAGCACCTGGCTGAGAAAGACTGGTGAGGATGAGCCTGCTTGCCAGCATCCTGCCTCAGCTCAAAGTCTACACAATGGCAACACGGTCTCCTTCATCAGATTGTTTTGGTTTTTTAAAAGCGCTAAGGTGTTTTTTAACAGGAGACAAAGGTTTAAAGATGCGCTGAAAGATCTAGGAAGCAATTCTGCAATACAGTAAATAGTAATCAGTTCAATAGCTTATCATCAGGAAAGAAGAGGTTAAATGGGGAACCCCATTGCTTCAGGAGTCTATGAGCAATTTAAAATTTATCACCACTCTTATACAAGGGAAAGATTGTGAATGATAGTCATTATTACTTAATCTTTTTCCATCTGATGAAATGCCATTTCATTTTCACGCTAATGAAAACACAAAATGGTTACAAGTCAAAGCCTACATAAGAACATGCAGAGTCACCCCAGTAAAGGTATTCAATCTTTTTCTTCCCTTAAACTGTGTAATGCACTCAGATGAAGGCATTTACTGTTTCTACCATTACCACAGACTCAAAGAATGGCAACAGTGTTCAAATAAACCCAACATGGTAGGCTGAGAACTTAGAAACAAAGATGTCTCTGGGAATAAGGATTTTTGAAACGTCATATATACATCCGAACTGGAACTACTACACACACCCTAGGCTACCCCTACCCTAGGCAAAAAGAAGTCAGGCCAGTTTAATGAGACTTTCTAGTAATGAAACTTTACAATAGATGCAG